GTGCCTTATGAGGAGGAGCGGGGGAGAAGGGGGGAGGGGGCTCAGCGTGCCCTCACATGCGCGCTGCAATCCTCGCACGATCCAACAGCAGCTCGAGGCGTGCGCCCATGTCCATCTGTCGATGCCTATCTGCGAAGAACACCCGACCGCCTGAGTTGTTGGCTTCATGTGAACCCAAAGACTGACCGTCAGCCGCTGCCGTCTGCGCCGCCGCGGCGATTTCGCAGGGGAAGTGGAAGTTCATGAAGAGCAAGAAGGACGCCATGCGCCCGCGCTTCGGGCTGGTGTCCATCATCGAGGGGAAGCGCGCCATCAGCGAGGTCAGTGCTCAGCAGCGGTCATGCACCTCTCTCGCCAGGGAGTTGACACTTCAATATGGGTACCTCTGTTCATTTGCGGCATCTGCGCAATGGTCTCGCTGCGGCCTTCGCGTGCTTGGCACTACTTAGCGGGTTTCTCACGGATTGGGCAGGCGGCGTGAATTGGCGCCACAGAGCGTGATCGCGGCGTCCTCCCCACCCACACACATGCGCCGCTCCTGCGCACGCGATGCCACCATCGTCGCAATTGCACGCTGGCGTTGCTGCGCCGCTGCGGAGTGGATGCGCATCGGATGCCCACAGAGCTTTTTCTGTGGCTTGTGCTGACTGGTGCACACGCACATTGCCCGCGGGGCTCAGCGTCGCTACTCCGGGCATGCAACAGGCGGCGACAAGGCATAGCTCAGATGTCTAGGGGCCATTCTGAGTGCCTCTGCTACCCTAAGGAGGTTATTGCTGGCCTTCCCGCCCCATGGCTTTTGACTGCATGGCTCTTGATCGTGCGTGCAATCGTTCTCGCAAGGCCTGCGCTTGCGCAGCGCCGGCCTCAGCACGGCGTCCGCCGTCGCCACATGCAGCTCCCCAAAGCCTGCACGACCGAGTGCCCGGCACCTCAGGCCAGCACACAGCCCCCCCCCCCCCCCCCCCTCTTGACTCAATGCTGCGTCGTCGCAGCAGCTTTGCACGCACTGCCTGGCACCTCTGGCCAACACACAGCGCCCCTGCCCCTCCTCCCCTCCTCCTTGACTCGACACAGCTTCTGCGCAGCAGCCCTGCACGCGCGTCTCACACGCCCGCGTCCGCTGCTTTTTGATCCAATGCGCGACAGGAAACACTGACCGAGGAGGCTCTCAAGGCCTTCCTGGCAGAATTTGATGCCGGCGCGCTGGAGCTGGAGCCCTTCACCATACAAGAGGGGGGCGCAGAGGGGGGCGAGGGGGGGGACGACGCGGACGCAAGCGCATTTCAGTAGATGATAGTCTGCATCATATCGGGACACATGTAACAGTAATGTCTCTCATGGGGGGTACACACAGACACGCCATGTGCGGCGTGGGTCGCAGCGAGAGCATCAGCGTGGAGTCAGCGGGCGCCATTGTGGGTGTTCACACAAGGCAATGGGGGGAGGGGGGGGGGGGGAGGGGGGCAGTACATGTCCTCACTGCGAGCGCAATGAATTTTGAGCACATCACATAATGCACCTGGGCGCCTTGCGCGCCGTCATTCGCGCGCACCCTTGCTTAGCAAGCGATTTGGTTTCTGGTTGTGAACCGGACCGGCGCTGCTCGTGTCCCTGCTAAAACACGCCCCCATGCTCAGCAACCGTCGCATCTGCAACTACTTCAGAAGTGCGATTTGAGCTTTCATCATCTCCTGCAAAGCGCGTCCTCTGAGCTAACCTGCTCAGGCACGGTGCTGCCATAGTCCCTCCCACTCGAAGCCATGCCAACTTCCTGCTGGATATCACCAAATGTTGCTTCATCTGGTATGGTGGTTTAGACCCAACATTTTTTCCCAGCACGTAGCAGGCATGCTTTGGAGCATGTGTGCCTTGCTGGCTTATGACTTGATACCCTTGTGTACAATTCTCGCATGCTCCTGCAACTTTCGTGTCCCCAAAAATCTTGGTTTGCCAGGCCGAACATGTAAGTATGTACAGATTGCTTACATCATTCACGTACCATCCTATTCCTTCTCCCGGTTGAAGCCGGAAGATCTGCTGCGCCGCGAGCCAACTTGAGCTTTATTCTGAGCCACAAATCTGCTGATGCAACAGCCTACTGTTATTATCTGCTGCGGTCATCATGGCCCGCTACCGTAGCCGCGCCGACGGCGAGCGGTACTTCCTAATTGACGACGTGATTGAGACGATCGTACCCAGGAGACTGTCATAATCAACAGAAAAACCGCCGCCACCATCGCCATCACCGCGTGCATTGTCGCACGCTGTCGCGCTTTTGCGGACCATGCAGGACCCCAGCATCCATATCACCACCGACAGGCTGTTGGTACCACAGAGGCTGTTGTCGGACATGCGGGGCATCGGACATACAACGCAAACAACAGATCGCCGACAACGCCAGAGCAGACTTGCGACAGCGAGCCCGAGCACTCGATCGTCTGGACTGCTGGCGACGTGCATCATGTCTTCGCTAATATGGTGGAGGCCCGCAGTTGGCGGCACGGGCCTTTCATGGCGGTGAGCGCATCAGCTGACGATAAGATTCAATCGCTAACTCGCATCCTCCTTTGTCAAGCAAGATCTGTGCCTAAGCTGTACATGGTAATGTCTTCAGAACTCCACATGCGCTGTGTGATGAGGTGTACGGATTCCAGACGAGCGGCATCTGCACACGAGTTCGTGTACATATGGCCGTCTGACACAATCGTGCATGGCGTGGGACACCACATCGTTTATCATTGCTTTTCAGCTAATGCACACATCATGCTTGACAACGGAGGATACGCTTTGGTGATTGGATCCTACCGGCAGCTGACGCGCTCCCCGCACTGGGAGCCCCGTGCTCCCTATCGTAGGCCTCCGCCACATCGGCAAAGACATGATGCACATCGCCAGCAGTCCAGATATTGAGTAGTCGGGCTCGCTGTCGGATAAATAGGTTGGGTGTGCTGTCGGCGATCTGTTGTTGCGTGCTAGGCCCGATGCCCCATACATCTGACAGCAGACTCTGTGGTAGCAGCAGCCTGTCGCTGGTAGCACTGATGCTGCAGTTTTGCATGGCCCGCAGCAACGCGACAGCGTGCGACAATGCATGCTGGTGATTGCGATGGTCGGCGGCGATATCCTGACGATCATGATGTAGACCGTCTATCCTGGATTCGACCGTCTCGATCACGTCGTGGATGAGGAAGAACCGCTCGCCGCCGGCGCGGCCACGGCAGCAAGCGATGATGACCGCAGTAGATCTCATGCACGCTGTCTCAGATTTTGCGGCTCAGCATAGATAAACCTCAAGTTAATCTTCCAGCTTCAAGCAGGCAGTCAATCCCTTGGTGGGCGCCAAGAGGTGGAGGTGATGCTACAAATTTGCCACTTTGGCGTTCGGGTAATTCGGCAGCATCGGGGCGCAGGGGCGGAAGCTGCTGGAGGCTGTTGCCACGGAGTATGCGATCAGGATGTCGGTGCCTGGAGCAGCCAGTGGTACGGCATGTGCCGTTGGCTGGGGGCGTTCCTCGGGACTGGTCTCTGCTTTGAGACGGTTCTTGGGACAGCCTAGGGCTGTTATGGTAGTTATAGAAGAGATGCCAGCGCTGTAGGCCTTTGATGCGGAGGCAATTGCAGCTGGCAGGTCAGTGACAGCACTCTGCCAAGTTCCACTTCTAGAGGTTCTCCTGATTGTTGGTGGTGGTGGGGGGTAGTCTGTCCCCTTTTCAAGGAGTTTTGGCTTTGCCAAGTGACTGTGGTGCACTGTCTCTACCTGAGACACTGGCAACAGGGGCAAATACATATACAGGTGCATTAGCTACTCATCGGGTTTTGTGTTTGCCTGCCTGTTGATGTGTGTGCTTGTCAGCGATTGTCTTTACGAGTCCCATGGTGCCTCTGATGTAGGTTTGCTTTGGTGATCTTGGTACCCCCTTAGGACAGCTGCTTGCTTGCCTCCCTGGTTTGTGGCACATGAGCTTGCTGCCGCTGCCCTAACACCAGCCATCTGGCCCTAAAAGGCATAGTACTGGCGCGCATCCGCTCAGCTCTGTCGGCAGCGCTCCAGATGGTGTACTCTTTGCGTGTCATGACGCATATGGCGGAGTGTAAGGGGGGCAGATGGACGAGGACTTCGAGGGCGGGGAGATGCGATATGACGATGTTGTTTGGAAGTGATTGGCAATGCGCATTGAGACACTTTCATGGCGTTCGCAAAGACACATGCTGATTCTGGTTGCAACTCCATGGACATTCACCATCTGGGATTTTTCACGCCATGAGCGAGAATCAACAAAAAAAGTACATGAGTAGTACTTTAGGGCGTAGGGGAGGACCCCGAGATGCCATTTGGCGGCGGCGGCGTTTGAGTGGTTGTCGTTGCGACACTTTCAGACTGTCATACGACATGTAGATTCCTTACAGCTAGATGCCAATCATCTGGGCTTTTTCGCGCCCTGAGCGAGAATTAATAAAAAGTACTTTACTGAGATCACTGATTCGCCAATGCGTGCACCAGCCTGCCACGTTCTGTAACAAAGGACAAGCGCAGCAAGGCCCTGCGTACGGCGTCTATATGTTGCCCCCCATGACGCACACATATGTGAACATAAGCGTACGCAAGATACGACAAGCCCCCCAGAGAGGGCATGCTGACACAGCTGCGTACATCATGGCTGCATGCTCAGTAATGCAAGGCCTTGTTTTCAGACAGGCTATGCATGGGCGTGCGCAGCAGCATGTGCAGCTACGCATCACATGTGACCCTGTTTGCTGCACAACAGATGCAGAGACGACTGCTGACGTTTGGCGCTGGTCCAGGTTCAAAATAGCAATTTGGCACGCGATCAAGTGTCATGTGCGTATGAATGTGCGCCATGATACACACAAAGATTATGCCTGTGTTAGTGTATACTTGAGGCAATTGAGCTAGTAGCAATGTGATTTGTTAGAGGTAGGATTTGTCGTAGACAGTAGGAGTATTAGCCTAGCAGGCACTTGGATGGTGGGCAGCATCACACCGACAGGAATTGAACCTGCATCTCCGGCGCATATAGGCGCTGGCGTGCTTCCATTGCACCACAGTGTGTGAATGATGATGATACGCAAGGCAGCTAGATGCGCTGTTGTTGTGTTTACGGTAGTAATGTACGCTAGTGTTGCGTTCAAGTCAGGAATGTAGTCAAAGTCTCTCTTGGTGGACCTGAACCGGTAAGGCTCAGTGCCAGGCCCCCGCACCACAACAAGGTGGAGACCGCATTCGCGGGGGAACTACCTACACAAGCAACACCGCCGTAAAGCAGTACGCCAAGCAATAGCAAGCCTGCGGAATATCAAATCCCAGCACAATCTGCAAGACTTGATCGCAGCCCCCTTGCTCACAAGGCAGGCAGATTGGTCTGAGATGCGATATTCGTCGGAGCCTTACTGCTGCTTGACATGCTGCCGCCAGACAAAGCGCTTGCTGCTGAACACAGGCACGGCCAAGGAAGAGAGGGAGGGCACTCCCCCATCTCCTCCAGAGAGAAGGGCACAAAAACCGTGGTGCAGGGGTGGATTTTGCTGGCGCCACGTTGGTGACTCCCACCCTGTGTGCCTGCTGTTCAGCCAACGCTCGGCACCCTCCACGAGGGGCAGCCGCCACCGTGTCCCAGGGGCGGGGCAGGGCCCGCCCCATTTCAACTTCAAGTCGTTTCATGCCATCCGAAGCGATGGAGGTGGTGCTGCCAGCGGCGACTGGCGACACGCCAGCTGGCCCAAATGGTCGCGCGGCCACCCCTCCTGCTGCTGCTGCCTCGTGGGCGGCCAAAGCCGCCAAAACTGCGACAACACCCCCGTCGCTTACAGCGAAGAGCAACCTGCTTCGGGAGGAGGCACGGCTGCTGCACGGCCACGATGGAGCCTACTTCACTCCCCGAGGCAGCTACACGCCAACCCCAGCCCCATCCGCCCTCACTCCAGGGCAGCTAGACCAACAGGCGAGCGAGATGTTCCACGCCGCGGAACAGGAGCAGTACTTCTTTGTGCCCCCCGCTGTCGCGGCGGTGGGGCGCCAGGGTGGAGCCGCTGCGGGCCGCCTCATGGCGATGGCGGCGCGCGTGCAGGGCCGTCCGACAGCGGAGGGACAGCCATTTGTGCCGCCGGCGGCGGCAGCCGGCACAGACCTAGTCTCGTTTACGGTGGATCCAGTCACCTGCTACACCCAGGAGCACTTGGCTGCCTTGCCGGCCAGCGTCCGCGCACTGTTAGCAGAGCTCGCGCCGGCCCGTCAGCCTCACGAGCGCGAGCGCAGCACCCCTGCGGCGGCTGCACAGCGCCGCGCCCGACTCACGCGGGGGCGCCAGCAGCTGCTAGCGGCGGCGCTCACGCACATGCACGACGCGGCGAGGGCCGGCGCTGGAGACGCTGCCTCACTTGCGTCCTTATTCAAGGGTGCAGAGACGCTGGGGCCTCTGTCGCCTCGTGATGACTTCCGCACGCTATGCTTGCGGGCGCCGGCCGCGCTCGTTGACGCGGCGCTCGGAACGGTCGGCGACTCCGCTGACTTCAGCTTCAGCGGCTTCCGCCTGCGCATCACCCGCGCTGGTGACATGAGCGCCCCGGTCACGGTCACCGTGCGCGGCGCGCCGGCGGCGTGGTCTGCAGCGCAGCTTGCAATGCTGCTTGCGCCCGCACTCGCAGCTCCTGGCATGCCCATCGCGCCGGTGCGCTTGCGGGCGGGCGGCGGCGGCACTTCCGCCGCCTTTCTGCTGCTGGCCAGCGCTCTGAAGACCTGCGGCGTAGGCATTAACGGTGCGGCCTCATCCGCGGCGCCGGCGTCGGCGGCATCGCCAGGCGCCGCGGGTGTTTGGGAGCTAACAGTGGTCCGCGGCGTTGCGCGGCGACTCGCGCACTCGGTCCTATGCGCGGTGGACGGCACGGAAGTAGCGCTGCGGCTGCTGGGCCCTGACAATCTGACAGCGTGCCCGTCCTGCCTGCGACGGCACTTCACGCGCCCGGGTCAGCAGTGCCGGGCAACGCGCTGCGCGCACACCACGCTCCCCGCGGCCTGCACCACGCCAGCCGCCGCCACTGGCACAGCCGCCGGTGCCCCTGCGGTAGCCACGGCTGCAGCCGCCGCGGCGGCAGCCGCCGCGACGCAGCGTGCGCCCACCGGCGCCGCCGCCTCGCACCCCCCAGCGCCGGCGGCGACCGGCGCCGCCGCGACGGACGCTGCCGCCGCCTCGACGCCCGCGCTGGCGAGCGCGTCGCCGGGCGCCTCGCCGCCGCCGCCGGCGGCCGACGCGGACCCTGCGCAGCTGGGCCAGGAGCAGCGCATTCAGCAGCTGCAGGGGGGCATCCTGGAGGGCAGGACCGCGCGGAAGGGGCTGCAGCAGCAGGTCAAGGCACTGACAAAGCTGCTGGCAGCCTCCGAGGCGGGAAAGCGGGCTGCTGAGGCCGATCGCGACCGGTCTCTGGCAGAGCAAGTTCGTGCGGAGCGGCTGGCGGCGCAGCAACGGAGCCTGCGCGAAGGAGAGCAGGTGCGCAACGCTGCGGCGACCGCTCGACTCGAGGCGCAGCTGACAGCGGAAGCGGCGCGCGCTGCGAGCGTGGCGGTGCCGGCGGCGGACGCCGCCGGCGCGGTGGCCACCACGCCCGTGGCGGGAGACCTTGAGGCTAGCTCTGCAGCGGCTGGCGCTGCGGCGGCGGTGGCGGCGGACGGGGCAACGGCGGCGGGCGCGGCGGCGGCAGGCGCGGCGGCGGCGGGCGCGCCGCCGCCTGCTGTAGGTGCTGCCAGCGCAGCAGCGGCAGCGGCCGCAAGCGCGGCAGCGGACCTTGCGGTGGCACTGGAGGCAGCGGCGGCGCCGCGGCAGCCGCCGCGCTCTTGCTCACGCGGGCGCTCGCGGTGTCGGCGCGCATCGTCGCCAGCGGCTCGGCACGGCAGCGACTGCAGCGCCTCCCCCTCGCGCAGTAGGCAGCCCCCCATGCCTGCCAGTGACAGCAGCGCGCTTATGTCCGACAGTGGCACACCCCGCGCCAGCCGCAAGCGCACGGCTGCTGAGCGCACGCCGGGCTCGGCGGCGGAACCCCCCGCTGCACGCCCCGCGCGCGGGCTGCCCCAAGGTCAGTCCGCCGCCGACCGCTTCCTCTCCACCTCGACGGCCCAGCCGCCGGCACCGGAGGGAGGCGGCGGCGCCTCGGGCCTGTAAGCCGCCGGTGCGGCGCTCCCCTCATCCACCGTAATGATGTCTGACTCTTATTCAGGGGGAGCCGCACCGGCGGCCATTGCGGCAGCTGCTGCTGCAGCAGCGGCTGCCGCGGCGGGCATAGACCCTACGCAGCCTGAGGCAGTGCAGGCGCCCGCTCAGCCTGCAACGGCTGCCATCTATCCGCGCTGCCCTTTATATGACACTGGCTGCCTCTTTCGGGTGCCAGTGCCCAAACCGCGCCTCCGCCGGAACGGGGAGGCGAACACGCTCACGGCGCAGACGTCGGCGTCGCTGGCGCTGGCGCGCCGCATCGCCACGACGCTGGCGGATCACCAGCGCCGCGAGCATCCGAATGTGCCTGCCGACTTTCTCGCGCGTATGCAGGCGGTCGACGATGAGTGTTTGACTCTCCACCGAGCCGGCGCGGGCACCTACTACGCCGTGGAACCCGAGCTGCTACTCTGCGCATGCGCCTCGTGCGGCGAGCCAGGGTGCGTGCGCACGAAATTGCACCAGCGCGACCACCTGTACAAGTCCCGGGGGGCGGCCGCAACGCAGCGGCCACACGGGCCCCGCGTCGCGCCTCTGCCCCCCATCCTCTCCCTCTCTACAGCCAGCGGCGGCGCGCGCGGCCCCGGCGCCCGCGCAGCTGCCGCTGTGGCTGCGGCAGGGCCAACATGGCGCAGCGCGCTTCCGCTCTGGACGCTGGCGCCGCTCTCGCCCGCGCGCGCAGCGCTTGACGACCTCTCCTTTGACTATGTTCTGCAGCAGCAACTGGTGGTCGGCCGCTGCATTCGCCTGGAGCACCGCTCGGACTTCACAGCCGCCCTGACGGCCACGCTGGCGGGCCTCCGGGAAGCGCAGACGGCGGTAGCGCAGGCACACGGGGTTGAGGCAGCGGCACAGGCGTCCGCCACAGCCGGTGCATGGTGCAAGCTGCTGCATCTGCTGCCGTGCCTGCTGCTTGTACCCGACGGCTCCCTGCCGCGGGCGCACCGTTTTGCGGCCTTCGTGGCAGGCGACCTGGACCTGCTCACGCGCACAGCGCTGGCCTTCTGCCGCCGCGGCGCCGCCCGTGCGGGCACGCGCCGCGCTAGGTCTATGACGGAGGCGGCGGCGGCAGTGCGGGAGCGCGCGGCGGCGACGGCGCGGCAGCCGGGCGGCGTCGGGCGCGCCGCGCGGCTGCTGGCGGAGGGTGCTGACACATCTGCCCCCCGCGACTCCGCTACCTTGCATAAACTGCAGGCTAAACACCCAGCTGGCGATGCGTCTGCGAAGCTGGATGCCGCGGCATCGCGGGCGCGCAGCTTGGTGGCGGCGGCGGCGCTGGCGGCGCCGGCACCACTCAACTGCGCTTCATTCACGGCGGACGGGCTACGCGAGGCCATCCTCGCCGCCAACCCTGGCTCGGCCGCCGGTCCCTCTGGGCTGCGCAACTCCCACCTCCAGCAGTGCGTCCGGCACACGGCGCACACGTCGGGGCGCACGGTTGACTGGCTCCTTGAGCTGCTGGCGTGGCTGGGTACCGCGGTGTACTCCACCCCCGCCGCGCTGCCCGCCCCCTTTTGGCGCCTTCACGCGGCCGCGCGCCTCAGCGCTGTGGGCGAGAAGGCGCGCCCCATCGCGTGCGGCGACACCATCCGCCGCCTGTTCGCCCGCACCTTCTGCACGGACACCCGGGACCGCGTCTCCGCGCTGCTGGAACCAATTGGCCAGTTTGGGGTCGGCGCGCGGGGGGGCGCAGAGAGAGTGGCGCTCATGGCGCAGCTCACGCATGAGTGCGGCGGCGTGCTCCTTGCCATTGACGGCAGTAATGCCTTCAACGCGCTGTCGCGCTCGGCAGTCCTCACCGCGGTGGCCGAGCATCTGCCTGGCCTGTACGGCTACGTCGAGCACATCT